AATTACGCTGAGCAGACTACAGGTTCGTCAACATCGTGCCCCAATTTGGCACACATCAGGGCGATTGAGCAGTCTTGACGACTACTCACTCTCTGATTTGCGCCTTCAATCCAGCATTCTCCCTCTTCAGTCTTGCGTTCTCTTTTCGCAGGCGGGCCAGCTCCTCTTCGCTCGTCTTCAACCGACGTTCCACCTCTTCGCTAGCCCTTCCCTTGCGGGCGCTGCTTGTCACCTTCTCCAGCTCTTCGTTGAAACGCGCGTACAGTGCCTCGTTCTCCGCGTTTACGTCGCGGTACAGCTGATCCAGGTGCTTGCATCGAGCTTCCGATACTTGTAGTGAAGTTGTTACGTCGTTTGAAATTCCTGAAGTGCGTGCAGAGAGTGTTTCCAATGTGGCTCTGAGCTTCTCTAGAGCAGCGACGCGCGCTTCAGCCGTCCTCGTAGCTGTCCCATTCGTTATCAACGATGGAGCAGAGCTCTGAGTTGTCAGACGTGGCGTGCTTCTAGCATTCAGCTCTTGACCGATGGCACTCAGTTCGTTTTGCAAAGCTTGCGATGCTGTGTCGATATCGCGTTGCTGAGTTTGTAGCCGCTCGCGCAGCTTTTGAGGGGATTGCATTCTCAGCTTCTTGGGAGGGCTCCCAGTCAAAGGAGTACTGGCTTTGGTCGGAGATCGCGGAGTCGAGGGTGGCAGTTTGACAGCGTTTCCGGACCCCGTTCGTTCATGCAGGCCAGCACTGGTAGTTGGCCGTAAATTGGGAATGGCCGAGCTGTTGGGGAGGTTTAGAGGATTGGGAATGCCTGACACAGTCTCGCTTCGCTTCTTCGTAGGACTGTTTGACTTGATGGTGACTTCATCATTAACGTCTGGCTTCATCGTGACCGACTTTCCCCTAATGTGTGCTGGACGCTCCAAGCCGACTGCAGGGGAGTTCTCTTTCCTGTCTGTTCTTTCCACCCGCAGCGGAGAACCTAGCCGGGTAGGCGTGGGTATCGAAGAAGTGTGCTTGTGTAAAGCCATCGTAGCCGCCGAAGGGGCGAGTGGAGACTCGCTAATCTGGCGTGTCTCGTGGCGCAATGCAGGATCGGCCTTGCGAGGAGTCTGCGGAGACCACTCGGGTACATCGTCAGCATCCTGCAACGTCTTGAGATCACTCAAAGAAGAGCGGCGCTTCTTGCGAGGAGGCCCAGCAGTGGGAGGTACCTCTCCAATTGTCCCAAGATTGCCCACGAACGACCGACCATTAGCGTTCGAGTTCGAGTTTGAATTCGCGTTCTCAAACGTAAAGGCACCGAGAACAGTCGGACGGTCGCGAGAGGACGGTCGCTTTGGCGATAGGCGAGCAGCAGCGTCTATCGAGTTGGAGCGGCCAAGGTGCCCGGGACCAGCCTTTGACATGCTGGGCGACTGAAGGTCTGTCCCATGGCTGTTCTTGCTCAGTGAGCGCCAGAGTGAGCCTACTTTAGACTCGTTCTCTGACTTGCTGTTCTCGCGTGTCAAGGTACCAAAGCCAAAACGTCTCCGCAGTGATGTGTTGGAGTTGAGCGAGCCGGCAGCTGCGTAGCGACTCTTTGAGTCCATAGAGCCATAGTTCGGAGTACTGAATCCAGGTGTCTCGGCTGGGAACAGAGCGTCGATATCTTGCACCAAGCGGTCCATAAGGGAAATGAAGTCGTTTGCGTTACCGGCAGGCACTAACATCTCAGCAAACGCCGCTGTGAGAATGCCTCGATCGCCATCGTTGCTGGTGCCATCGAGCAGTTCGGCTAGCAGATTGATGACAGCGCGGAACGCTCGTTGGTTTGGAGGGGCAAACTGGTCGAAAGTGTATTTAAAGAACTCCTCGAACTCATCAGGTGGCATGCTATCTGATCGCATCTGTAATGAGACCAATGTGGCGTGCGACAGCACAGGGCCCATTCGCTCTTTCCAAGCGACACTCAAAAACTTCTCAAACACTGCGAAAAGTACATCCACAGATGATTGACCAGCGAGTTCAAGATTGGCAGGGTTCTCCAAAAGCGTGTTGTAAAGTTCGTTGACAACAAGTTCATCAGCGACAGCTCTCGCCCTGACAGAGCGTCCGACAATGTTCCCTTTGCGTGCATGCAGTGCCAGGGTCAGATTTGCCAGGGTATCTTCGAGCTTTGAGAAGGGATCGCTCGGGCCATTGAAGGTGGCGCTCTTAGTGGTGCTGGACGAGGTGGGGCGCGACATCTCCCCGTCATGGCTGTACGTGCGATTCGGCCCAAGTTGAACCGGAGGTGCCATGCGCGGTACCTCTCCCATGGTATGCGCATTGCGTTGGAGTCTACGAGAGCCTCCTCCCTCGCGGCCAATACTGCTCACGCTGCCTCCAAAGAAACTGGACAACATCTTCACTGGAGAGTGCGGGCGGCTCTTACTACCCGTCTGCTGTTCTGCCTCGTACATCTCCAGAGCGAGTGACTTAAGTATCTGTTGGTTTCGCGTAAGATACGCCTCGGCCAGTGTGTGGTTCTTAACGCTGTTCCGCAGTTGGAAGTAGTTGGCGAGGCGCTTTGTGAGAACAGGTCGGAACTCTTGGTCAGTTAGCTTGTCGCGCGCAGTGTATCCATGGGCCCCATTTGACTCCAGCAGAAAGAGTCCGTCACCAAGTATGGTGATGGTGACAGTAAGCTCGACGCCGCTGTCACCGACCTGAATGGGCTTGGTGAACTTCGACCCTTCGACAAGAATCTGAACTCTCGCAGGCTCGCGTCGACCTTCCACCTGCTGGCCAGCTGTCTCTTCGGCTATAGATGAGAAGAAACTGAGATCGCCTGGCAAATTTCGAACGTCCCATTTGCCACTCTCTCGCTCCGCCTCCGGAAATCTGCCTTCGACACGAGCTTTGGTGAGCTCCTCGGTGACTTTGTGGCCCTTACCCTCATAGGACCCCTGCAGGTAGAACATGCGAATGCCAAGCTTCTGGCGTTCTCGACTTCTCGGTCGTCCGGGCTGGCTAGCGAGCGGTACCGGAGATAATAGTTGCAGTATAGATCCTTCTGAGTGCTCACTGAGGAAGACATCACTGAGACTCAGGTATTGATGAAACATGAGCTCCGTGGCTCCATCAAATGAGTCGGTGAATTTGGGGTTGTCGAGCTCGGCGAGCAAGCCACGCGCATTGATCGAACCGTCTTCTGATTTTTGAAGAAGCACCAAAAAGTCCGTAAAGAGTACCATGATGCCAGAGACCGTGGCAGGTCCAGACAACTCCCCGTGATATGGTGGCGAAAGCTCTACGCAATCAATGGCTGAGATCATCCGTCCTTTGGGGTTGAATCCCGATGGCCACGAAGTAACCATTTTGCGCAAGCGATCGAACACTCTGATCTGCTGCGCTGTAGGACCTTCTCTTGTGCAGATATCCGAGATCATATCCCTCGCCTTGAGGAATATCTTGATAGCTGGATGCCTGAGGGGCAGTTGCTTGATGATGTTGTCGATGTACAGGTTGTATCGCGGCAGGCGCTGAACAGGCTCGATGAGCATAGATGTAAGTCGCTGCTCGCCCGTTTCGTAGACTCGCTTGGAGAAGCTGGAGGCTGTGTCTTTCGTGAAATGCTTCAGCAGTTGTGAGAAGTCGCCGTGGGCCGCCATGTAGTCGGTATAGCAATCGGCAAATTGTGGCAGCCACTCAACAAGAGCCCTGGCGACGGCGGCCGCTCCAGTGACATCTGGTGCGTCCTTCTGTCCACGTAAGGGCGCGATGTAGACATCGTCTGTTGCTGTCTCAATGTCCTCAATCGCTCCATTCTCCGACTCTTCCAGAATTATACGTATAGCGTCTAGGAACTGGGAATTGATCTCTAGAATCTTGTCCAGACTGGGAGGGAACAAGCCTCTCAGTGCTTGCTCAGTAGGGCTAGAGCTCGAGCTTGACTTCTGCTTGGCCTTCTCGCGGAACTCGACCGCTACCGTGTGCACCAGCTCGTCCAGCTTGCTGACATAATTCTCTTCCGTGTCCAATAGCTCACACATCTCCCGTCGGAGAGACTCTTTTTGTTTCCTCGAGAAGGATTGTGATCGGTTGAGGGCGGTCGGTTTGGAGGGCGCGCGGCGGAGTTTGGAGGTCGGGAGAAAGGCGGCGTCTCCGAACAGCCTTACGACGGGCGCGTATTGTCCGTAGCGCTGTTGGATAAGGTCTTCTTCGAGGTCTTCGAACTGGCCGGACTCGCGCGATTCCAGCTTCTGGACGCTTCCTTGAGGGAGTACTACATCCAGATCTATCCAGGATAGCGTCTGCTCGCCCAAAGCATGGCGCACATCTATTATGACATCTGCGACGTTCTCGACCTTGATCATCCTGGCAGCGACAATGGCGGCATGCGCCTCGGAGAACAGCCTGGGAGCCATGGGCAGGTTGTCGGAGGAATTATACCGCCTTTCCCAAGCGCTCTTGATCTCCGGCGGCAGCTCGAGGAAGTACTTGTACAGGCTGAAGGCGAGACCGCGACATATCTCGTCGCCCTGCTCCTCACGCGGCAGACATGTGACGGCATTGTAGTATGTGGCTGTTGGCGAGATAATCAAGCGCGCGAAGTTCTGGAAGCCAGCCGGGGTGAAGACGTGGGCCTGGATGCGCGAATGTGTCGCCTGTGTGGAAGTGGCCGTCGGACCGTAGAAGATGAGCACGGGGGAATTGGAGAGCAGCTCGTCGGTCGTGTAGAAGAGCGACAGGTCCTCAGCGGACAGGGCCGCGGGCTCGGGGTTGATTACGACCATGGTGCCAATTGCGCGGAAACGAGTGACGGCGACGGCGGGTAGCAATCAGACAGTGAAGAGGCAGTTAGGACGGCGGGTGCATGACGCGGGCGCAGCGGCAGAGGGGCAGGCGGTGTTGTTGTCGTCCGAGTCGGTGGTGCTAGGAAGCCATTGGGGTAGAGAAGGGACAGTGGAGGCGCGTCCCGGGACTAAACAACAACAAATCCCATGGATCTTGTTGAAGCCCGAACCAAGAAAGCGGTCATGCGGCTGCGACCAAGCGCGGGTGGGAAGCTGCAGCGCGAATAACCAAGGTGCCACAGGTGCGACACGCCCGAGCATGGGGCTCCCAGCAAGCGGCCGCAGTGACAAGTATTTTTGGCCTGCAAATGATGCCCTTGCAGCGTATCGTCCGATCCGTCTCTCTGCTAGCTGCACATCGCCGCACCCCGCAGTGTCCACAAACAAAAAAGCACCGTCGTCATAGCAGCTGCCGCCATGAGATGAGGTACAACAGCCTTTCGAGAGTGTCAGCAGCCCGGAATTGTCCTTGAGTCAGGACATGGCCACGCAGCAAGATGAAGGCGGTGTGCCCTTCTCCATTGCACACCAGCAGCAGCACTTCCGCCTGCTCGAGCTGCCACCCGAGATTGTTGAGCTGATAGACGCGCCCAATCCGCCGCTGTAGGTGCGCTGACCTGTCGTTTCCATGCGGACATCCTTCTCATCATACGCGCTAGGCTCTCCATCAAATCCCAAGTCCAGTCTACCGCGTCTGGCACGTCCAACGCGAAGCCTGCATATGCAGTACTTTGTACGCCGAACAAGACCTTCCAGCTGCGCCAGGTCCAGACGTCCAACTCGCTCTACATAGCCCAGCCCGCGCTCGAAGCCCATGGCAACGAGATACCCACCCCTGCCACGCGCGCCATTGCGCTGTGTACCGCGACGCTTGAAGCCCATGCATCTACCGCGTCTGCCATCGCCTTGTTGAGAGAGACACTGCCGGTATACGACATTGTCGCAGGGGACGTCGACGCGACCAGCAATGGCAGGAGCAAGGCGAGCATGTTCGGCGATATGCCCTTGTCGGATGGGGAATGCCAGGTGGGATGGGATGAGCTGATGGCGTTCGAGGTGGATGGAGCATCATACCAACCTTCGCCCAATGCCCTCTCACAAGTCTGGAGGTCCATCAATGCCGCTGCACTAGCCGAGGGTATCAAACTACAAGCGCAGTTCTTGACCAACGATATCACTAAAGCTGCTGCTGAGGAAGGACTTCCGTCAGGCCTTGTAGAGGCCATACTCGCATACCTATCCACAGCAGACAACGACAAGAACGGACCATGGTCGTGTCTGGATCGGGAAAAGACTGTCGCATTTACTGGCAAGACGCTGCTAGAAGCCAAACGCGGCGCAGACTTCCTCATCGCCGACTTCACCGACACGTGGGAGGACCGCCTGCCCGAAGTATGGCGCAAAGACGCGCAACTCAGTGCCATCGAAGGCATTTACGACTTCCCATCCGATACAACGATAAGGGCGAAGAGCAAAGCCTCCACGACTTCAAGTGGAGACAGCTCAGTGGCAGCCATGAAGCCGTCAGCGCGCAAGTGGCACGAGAAGTTTGCCAAAACGAGAAAGAAGTGAGCAGCGTCGCGGTGATGACGGCGCAGGCACGTGATCGGGCGCGTTATCAACGCGTCTTACCGGGATCGGGAAGTGCAACTGCCGGCCGCTTGCTAATGCAAATTTCACAAGCCGCCAGTGGCTAGATGGGTAATCGCTCCCCAAGGCTGTGCCATACGCAAAACATAGACACCCCGAACTATATCTTCACATCGTCTTCGAGTGACATTGTCTGTTTTCTTTCTCAGCGTATGCAGCGTGTTCGATCTTTCGCATCCATTCTTAGAGCCCCACCTCGACTCGCTCTGACATCGTTTGGAAGGCAGCATTCTACGGTCAGCCCCAGACTGCAACAATCTGTACCCCCCGACAACATGGCAACCATCTCAGGAGATGACGGTCCTACTGCACCAGCACCTCCTGTAGTCAATGACCCCAACTCCACGCCTGCGACCAATGAGGAAAAGCCTTTACCTAAACTCTCAGCATCCGAGTTTCGCCAGTATAACAGAATGGCGGAGCACATGAACTATTTCCACGACAACTTCAGGGCGACGTGGAAAGTTCTGTATGGCGCGTGTGAGGCACAGAAGAGACCTAAGAACATGTCCATCCGCCAATTTATCAGCATGGGCCAGCAATTCTGCCGTTAGTTTCTACCCACAACCCGGCCAAAGAGTATTATCCATCTAATCATCCTCATATAGACCACCTCACAGTGCACCACACAATAGAAGAGCAGCACATCTTCCCCGTCCTGGCCAAGAAGATGCCCGCCTTCAAGAAGGAGCTCGAGCTTCTCACACAGCACAAGCAGATCCACAAGGGTCTCGATAAGCTAGAAAAGTACCTTGAAGAGTGCGAGGGCGGGGAGCGAGAGCTGCGATTGAGCGAGTTGAAGGAGATTTTCGATTCGTTTGGCGAGGTTTTATGGCAGCATCTGGATGATGAGGTCAAGCAGTTGGAAGCGGAGAATATGAGGAAGTATTGGAGCTTGGACGAGATGAGGCGAATTCCTATGTAGGTCATTACGTCGGATTACGATGGGTGGAGAGCGACCAAGCGAAGACAAAGGGCGTTCAAGGAATGACGGCTGGATGCGTACCTGCAATCTTATGACACTTTTCTCATTGGTCTTGTCAACCGCCACTGCGCGATGCACTAACATCCCAAAGAACCCTTCATGCTTTTTCCTCCTTAGGCCTCCAGACCCCGAGACAAAACACCAAACGATACAAACGATGTTCAACAAACCATAAAACGATCCACATACCCGAGCTAACACACTAGCGCAGCCCTTAGTTCACGCCTCGAAACGGGTGACAGCAGACCAAACGTTCCCTGAGGCAACTTCATGTTCGTTTCGCACTATTGATTTGTTTTGGATTTGGTACTCAGGTACAGGGTCCGGGTTGCTGGGAGGGGAGCCGTCACACTAAATTTATTGGTGAGTCTGGGTCAGGGTACAGCGTGGACTTGTCGCTGTTGATGTAAGAATGAAGGGGCGATGTACAGCGATGAGTATGTGGGTAAGACGGATCTGGACTTAAGATAGTGATGTGTCGCACGGGAAGTGTTCATGTATCGAAAAAAAAGAATGCAATGACTGCTATTGTACATGTTATGCAGAAAAAGGAAATCGTCGTAAAGCTTGTATAAACTTCCACTATATGCGCAAAAACAGATGGGTATGATGATATCAGGAAAAGCTTTTGCCGCCCAGCAATTGTACTAGTACCTCTCCCATTTCCATAAACGCCTTCGCTGTAGAAACATCGCATCAATCCGCTCCAAGTCTACACGCTCACTTCGGAAGCTGCAAGCCAATCATACTCCTCTTCTTCAAACTGAGGAAGCGTTTCGGGCTGCGGAATTCCCAGTCAATTCTTGGTGTCCAGCCGCCCTCTCCAACGACGTCGGGTATACTAGGCGCGCCGCTATCGCTTCGTTGGTGGTGTGCTGGGTCAGGTGCCTCCGGTCCCTCTCCTCCTGTCGTACGGCTGAAGACGCTCCTCGTCGGGCTCTTGCTCATGCTGAAAGTCGATTCAACCGGGCTAGGAAGCTGCTGCCATGGTCCGCCTAGTCTTCGGACGATTCTGGCTTCCTCGCTCTCTCGCCATCTCTGTTTTTGCTCCGCCGTCGCAAAGGTGGCTAGTGTGCTGGTGGACTTGGTGATGAAGGAGGAAAGGCGTTGGGAGATGATGGAACTGCGCGCTGATCTATCTGCCGTCTTTGGTGGTGCCAGAGAACTGCGGGTCGAGTTCCTGATCAAGTCAATATCTGGTGGCGCCAGGGAGCTGCGCGAAGAGTTTCCGAGGTCTATCTCTATGATCCTGGGGGCAGGGAGCTGTTCGACCTTCTCGTTCTCTAGTTCTTTTTCTTCGTCTTCACTGAAAGATCTGGTCGACTTGGTGTCATCTTGAACGCTGTCCGAGGAAGTAGGTCGCGAGTCTTGCATTTCCACATCGCTCATCTGTGGTCTAGCGTAGCTGCCAGGCCCCTTTGCGCCATTGGGGATGTGCCAGCGGAGGTCTACGCGAAGTATCGCATACATGAGTACCGTCTGGATTTCCACTAGGAAGTTGAAAATGTAGAACGGTGCCTTGCCGAGATAGCCAGGTAGAGGTTGCGATCGCGGTACCGGTGCCTGGAGGGCAACACCACAACGGAACCATGCGCCAATAGAGAGGAGCGTGGTGCTAATCATCAGGACTATAACTTTTGTACGAAGACGGCCGATACCGAATCGATCGAGCGGCGAGTAGGGAATGAGAAGTGTGAGTATCGTCATCGGCAAAGGTAGTGTAGCGACGATGGCGAGGAAGGTTGCGCCGTATTGCTGGAAGCCGCGATCGATCGCTCGAGTTCCTACGTTGAGAGTATAGAAGCTCTGAACCGTGACTGTAATGACAGCGATAAGTGTCAAGCCGATCAACGCGTAAAGAGCCTTGAACACGATGCCAAACGCAGGATGCCAACCCACCGACGGATGTGTTGACCTTACTAGGCGCATCGCGAAAACGAGATTGATAACGAATAGGATAAGAACACCTGCTGCGATAAAGATCTGTGCAGCAATCGCAAGTGGAATGTTGGTTGGATTAGAGACCGATGCGAGTCGTAATATCGATGTCAATATGCGCTCCATGCAAAAGACTTTGGGACAGTCAGCCTGCATTTGATCAAGAATGTAGCTATACATACGGAAGATGAAGAAGTTTGCTAAGAACTTGTGTCCTCGTGCTCTGTTCTTTTGGAATATCTTCATGTGTACTGCTGCTCCGATCATGAAGAAGACCATGAAGACTGTTTGGGCAGGAATATCGATGCGTTTCACTGGAGGTCCACCCAGCGGCCATGTCATGGGAGCATAAGGTGGTCTTTGTGATGCCTTTTCGACGTCAGTGACTTTGTCTCTCTCCAAGTTCCAGGTCCATCAGATAAGCCTGTGGGGTGGGATGCACTCACTACAGAAGGTGGCATGCCGCCTTGTGAAGCCATGGTATCGCTGATTGCGTTTATTCGCCTTTTCGGACTTGATTTGCGCCGGCGACTGGCGATGCGTTGGAGATGAGTGTCGAGACTAGTCAATAGTCAAAGTACCAGGACGTCGAAGCGATACGGGGAGCTTCGCGCAGCGAGGCGCAAGCTCACCATATATGTTGCGCCGCACCATGTCAGCCATCACTCCACTTGTGACAAAACGTCTGCAGAGCACTTGTACTATGTTTTGTCCATGCGTCCAAACAGTAGTGTGGTGTTTGATGTTAGTGTCTGAATCGCGAAACCGAGACACCGATCGCTATTTCGGGACTGCCGCTAGAACAACGTTAGGAACTAACACCAGATTCTGACCACGGCAGCCCTGTACATTGAATGTCAAAGTTGAATGACCAGAACCTGCAGTGCCAGAGTCATCGATCTCAAGCAATAAGAATCAAGGAGGGTTCGAATCGATCTCACACAGACGTCGGCACTTGGCTTACATGCTCGAATAAAGCGACATCACACCTCAATTGCAAAACAGCGCGATCAGGCTAATGTTGCGACGCATCAAACGGCTTACAATGTAGAACATCTTTCATTCATCCTGTTCAGCTCTTGCTCAAGTATTCACCAGGACTGCAAACGTACGCCGTGCACCATAGTCCGCGTTCCTGAACATTGCTACTACCAAGGAACCGAGGCATTTTAAGATGAACCACGAATACCCAGACTGTATGCTATAGTTGATACTACCTATCGTGGTCTATCCCGCATCGTTACCCCGCTCGCAGTTTGAAGTCTTTGCAGGTTCGAAGGCCTGACGTCTGTCATCGAACGCTGTCAGGCATGCAAGAGCTGAGTCTGCCGAATACCCAGGAGGTGTTCGACGTCCCAGTACATATCAATCCACTCTCCCCAACCCCACTGATGATCGCCAGGCTTTCCCACCGACTTAGTCGACGTAATCTGAATCGTCATCGTCGTCAATAAGGGCTGACAGTCTTCCCGTCACTTACCATCTCGCTTTGACCGTCCAGGTGTGTTGAACATCAAAACCGGCTGATCTTGGCACAAGACGTGGGTACTCGGTTGAGCTGGTAATAACCAGTCTCAGCAATACAGTCGTCATGATCTTCTTCGCGAGCTTTCGGGAATAGTGTCTCATCGCTCAGTTCAGGTACGTGTCTATCATCTGTGCCAGCCTGTAGAACATCCCGGCAACTCGTCAATGTCAGTTGTCCGAGTCCTACCTGGGGTTGGGCGTTTTCACGTCTTGACGAAGTATTCCCACCAACGATCATTGATGGTTTGCCCACGACTAAAGTATTCGCGGTACTCGTAGCCCAACCTGCGGATAAAGGTGGTGACCCAGCTTGTAGAATTAGCTCGCGCTTGATACCAGGCTTCTTTCTCTTGGCCGGATTGGCGATTCTTTGGCGGTTGACACTTATCTTCGGAACGAGCTTCAGTTCGGAACCAACAAACCCGTCAAAAACATCTCCAAAGTCTGGACGATATCGCGGCATGTTAGCAGAAAGTTGTGTGGGTCTCTGGAGGGGCTCTGTGCGCAGTTCCATTGGTTCGGTCCCTGGTCGGCGAGCAGAGTCTGGCGGTTGTGTTGTCTTCGGTATCAGCCTGCTCTTCGTGATGATGACGCTGTTTGGAGTCTGCGTGAAGGTTAGCAGTGCCAGCGTTGACTATTGTTGACATACGGAGATGTGCAAGGTATTTGCAAGATGTATCTGATTATCTTCGATAGGATCCACGACCGCAATGGGAACAGCGACGTTGAGAGTGACATCCTGAAGTCACCAGCGTTAGCTGGCCGCAAGCTACCTAGGATGAAATCCGTGGAAGCTCCTTACACCCGGTAGCGGCAGTCCATTCAGCGTAGTAGTCCGCAACAAAGCGAGCTCATGTACTGGTAGATGCCGTTTCCGAATGCTCGAAAGCCCGTTGCGAAGTCCTTGCCTGCTGGCGCTAGCAGAGGCTAGACGGAGGTCTGGCGGTGGTGAACGTGGGATGTCGTATACAGATGGCGCATTTGTGAGACCATCCAAGACAAGTTGAGCTTCTCCCATGTTGGTGTCTAGTGGCTTGTCGGTAGTTGCAGCTTCCTGACATAAGCCGGTTTTGATGACTTCTGCCTCCGCAGATGATTTTGAGGGCAAGATTGCTGGCTCCCTGCCCGCTTCCCTGACCGACACGTCGCGATATAATCCGGAGAACGGAGCAGCGGAATCTACCACGTCCACATGTTGGATAGGCCGTCTGAATCGTGACGGACGGTCTGGCATCCCTCCCACACATGAAAGAAAGGCGCTCAGCCGCAGACGATTGCCAACGAAATTAGTATCGTGGGCCATGTTGCGTGAGACGGCCGTTCACATGTGAGTTAGTACGGGCGAGCGGATATGCATGGCGTGCATACGAAAGCCTCAGAGCATGCTGTATGTTGCAGCGAAGTCTAAGGTTGCAGTCGCAGAGACAGATCGTGGCTGCCAAGAGAGCCATGACGACGCAGGTCCATGCACGCGTGCGGCTGCATCCGCAGAATGCGCGCTAACGCGCCGCGAATCTTTCAATGTTGCGAAGACCGAAGGGAATGGCAGAGGGCAATCGCAAGCTATCATAAGAACCCACCATGTCGATACCGTCCACACCGAGATGGCCTGCAGACGAGACAGGCGTGCCAGAGATAGCCGGCGACGAGTGCTTCGGAGACCTGGTAGACAAACTGTGCCAGTCAGTCGATGCATGTGAATGCGCAATTGTCCAGTCGCCTAACCCGAGAGTAGGTTCTTTGAGCATACCATCAAGCTGCCACATAGCTTCGAAGACTTGCGTAGATCGCAGGAGGGCAGGGCCGTCCAACCTCTCATCGCATACCTGTCCACCCAAGTCGACCACCCTGCCCTCGTATCGGCTCTACTGTACGTCGAGGCAGCCCACGCCGCTTCTGTTACTACCGGATGGTTGCATGCATGAGTGGAGAGCGCTGACCATATTGAAGGGCCCTGAAGGGACATTTCTCTGCCTTGGAAGAAACCAGTGACGAGCCTGGTGTGAACGAAGCGCGAGGCTATGCATGCGAATTCGTAGCTTGGCAATTCTTGACGAACCTGAAAGAAGCGGACATCATAGAGTCTCTACTAGTAGAACTCCCGCCTGCAACGACGCCGACCACCTCCAACCCAGCGAACGGTTACCACTCGGGCGAGAACGAACGTGACACCACACATACAGACGAGCGGTCGCCTTTGCTTCCCGTATCCAACACCGATTACTTTGGCCACGGCGACTCTCCCAGATCTCGCTTCGGATCGCTCATGTCACAATGCGAGAATCTCAGTGCATTGGAGCTTGCAACTGTATCTGGTGCGAAGAAGTTCCTATCCCAGAGACCAGTCCAGAAGATTATAAATGGCTTGTGGAAAGGCGACATCGTATTCTGGGAGACTCTCAGTCTACATTCAGAGAAGAAGCCCAAAAAGTATAACCGAAAGCAGGCCGATCCCTTCTCCCGGCTACGCGTTCCCTTGTACTTGAAGATTTTCGAGACACTCTTTTTTGCGGCATTCTTAGGGCTATACTACGCAGTTTTAGTGCAACGAAACAACGTCAGAGTGACCATTCCCGAGATACTGCTCTACGTTTGGATTGCCAGCTTTGCATACGATGAATTTTCGGATTGGTTGGACGCAGGGCAAAGCTCGTTTTATGCCTCGGACTTTTGGTAGGCATACGTTTCTTATCGCCGTGCTGATCGAGGCTAACATCTTTAGGTGGACCTGGGACATTAGTATCGTCGTCGTGGGCTTTGTCTTCTGCATTATGAGGATTGTTGGACTGACTACAGCCAACGCTACCACCATCGATCTTGCGTATGACGTACTCGGATTAGAGGCTCTCTTCCTCGTACCGCGCATCTTCTCTCTCTTGAGTCTCAATCGATACTTTGGTACCCTGATTCCGTGTCTCAAAGAAATGACCAAGGACTTCATCAAGTTCCTGTCACTGGTAGTCATCCTGTACCTAGGTAAGGCGTCCGACGCTTTAGTAGCTGCAGCCAATACTCACCGACATAAAGGGTTTCTAACTACTTTCGTACTGCTGGCTAGAGATAGTAGATTCAACGCGAAGCAGATGGCAAGTTGTCTATTGGGGTCACCGACGTGCCAACTGCTGACTCGTGCAATGTAGAGTTGGATACTGATCAAGGTCTTCTTCGGGTAATTGAGCACATCACGCCACTGTCGCTATACCAGCTAATGCCTTCTCAGCTCCAGCTACCTAGGTTTCGGTGAGTCAAGCCTCAGGCAACGGCCAAGCGAAGGCATCCACTAGTTCTCATCCACCGGTACTGACGACAGCTGCCTGCAGATGTCGCCGAAGAGATGTATGCACTCCTCCGTTGAACAGTGCTAATTGCTTGCTAATGCCTGCATAGCTCGCCTTTCTTCGGACCTCCTGTAATGGTACGAGTCTGACTATTTGGTATGCATCGCATCGCGGTCTGCTGACCACACACTAGCTTGTTTTCGTCACTTTGACAAACATCTTGTTGATTACAAGCCTCATATCGCTTTTGAGCAACTCATTGAGTAAGGTAATGGGCTTTTCCGTTGGTTCTCACTGCTTTGCAACCTTAAATCGCATGCATGTCTATGCATGCCAAGCGCCAAACAACGGTTAACGCCCGACTGAACCGCCTCATCTTCATCCGCAGTCTCCCCAGAGTGCATTCGCATTGGGGTTAGCACTTGCTTTCTTCCGGTTGGTCTTACGGGGGGTGTGATACAGCCCCATTGGGACTGCAACAGGAGATTTCTTGCAGGCACTGACTGCCCTGACCCCATGAACAACCGGCTATAGCTCATCATCTCTGGTTATATTGCTTTCCAAAAGATCGATATTGACGGTTAACAGGTCCTTGATCATGCGCGGGATGAATATTTGTTCATGTACGTCAGCATGATCCAACGTGACTTTCTTCAGGCACTGACGACACAGCTATTCCGTATACGTGCTCGAAGCATCAAGCTCGAATCGATTGACATACTTTCTGCCTCCACTGGTAAGTATGTTGTTCAGTGCTATTATTATGGGGAGGTTAAAAGCGGGCATTAAGCGCCGGGTCGTTCAACGGCCAATCGACACAGCCTCTATGACCATCATGGAAGACGCGCTCAGAACCAACCAGTCAAAGCTTCGTGGCCGCTCGTGAAGGAAGCATCGTCGGCGGATGCTCTGCCGTTGTCACGTCACTGACAAGCCTTGTTCTGGCGCTCAGGCTTTCTGGACTCAAGGCCGCTGTGAATCCCTGCGAACCCACAACGCAGTGGCATCCACAGGCGTGCTCAACTTTGCAAGGCTGACCAGCTTCCAGAATCTCATTCCGCTAGTCATTAGACCGTTGCGGCTCGTCCTCCCCTCCGAGCGACTCAGGAGCGTCCGGATCGTCTTGCTCAAGGCCACGCATCTACCTCTTGTATTTGCAATCTGGGCCTATGAGCAGTTGACCGATACCCGTAATCTCGATGTGAAAGTGACATCTTTCAGCGGACCGCAGACACCAACCCCACCAAAAAAGGCTCTTCGGTTGCCGGTCAACTCTCCACGCCTATTGATGGCCGAAGCACCAAACTCATTTGCGAGGAAGCCTCAGAAGCTCCAGGCACGAGCAGGGTTTACAGAAACCGATGCTCCATTGAAGACACTAGTCCTCAAGCTTTCAACGCAAGTTGAAGAACTTACTGCGATGGTGTCGCAGCTCCAGCAGCAGCGCGAAGCGAGCACATCGGTCGCTTGATGGCCGGCGCTTGCAGTCGCGGAAATATAGGTATAATTTACTAAGGATGAGCACTGCAAATCCGGTTAAAAATCAAGTTGGTCTTATCTGTCCATCCCAAGAGCTACTCAAACAAGTGTGTATGGAGTTGAGGTGTTGGTGTCTCACTTTGGTAACGGCATTGGGGTCACACATGAATGGACGATCAACGTCAGATACAGGCGGGACATCCTTTGCCAGACTGGCCAGTTTCATGGGGATGCACATCGAGCAAGGGTACAACCGCCCTCTCCTCTTGCGCCTCAAAGTCCGGTCGGCGCAAGGATGCCTGTGTTCGGCCCGCTAAGGCCTAGCTACCCGGCTGTCTGGTTCACCTGCACATACCCCGGTCGAGCAGCTGCATCCACCGCCCCCTGCCACTCTTTCATAGCCCCATGAAGCTAACAGGCGCCTGCCGCGTAGGCGGCTCGAGCTTTCTGTTCATGCTGCCCTGTCTAGCATAATTTCAGAATCTGCCTAACACTCAAAAGCCCACTGTTTAACATAGGCTCCGAGAACGCACTGGCGCAGCATACAAATCAGTTCCATCTTGAAGTTAGTCACGCATTGCATCGTACAGATATAACTCGTCCCGGAACGCCCTGCAGTTGGCATCCTCATCCAGCTTCTACCACATCATTTCTAGCTTTACCTGCCTTCATTCCTCGCCAACCTATTTGACCTCAAAGACTTGTGGACTACATTCATCCCTTTGAGATCCTTTCATCATGTATTCGTACGCGGACCAGCCCACGCCACCTTTTAACTCGCCTTACCAACAACACACATCGCGGGTAGGCTCCCTACTTGAGTCACCCTATCCTTCACCAGGACAACAGGAGCCGCGGCCCAATTACACACATGGCCTTGGCTTATATGAAGTCCACCCATCGTTGTCGAACCGTCTCCCTCCATCACCTCCCCAGCAATCGGAAAGCTGGGTCGGCACTCATTATCCCAACGGCACCTCGGCAGAAGCCACTGCAGATCCGTATCTATCAGGAGCTTTCGATCACCCAGTCCCTCATTCGCCGGTACCGTGGAGTTCCGCCCAGGACTCACCTCCTACATCTCCAGGCGTGTACAGTCAACGCGCGATGTCTGCTGCTTATTCGCACGATGGCTCAGAGTCTGAGTCTTACTCTGATGTCAGATTAGAGGGCCCCACATGGAATTCAGCAGCTCACATTCATTATGGCGAAGAAGTGCCAGTTACTATGGGTGGTCCGTCCTTATCAGGGCAACCGCCGCTCACAGTAGCTCCCGATCGGCTTAGCACACACATGTACTCCTACGAGAGTGCGTATCCATCACCGGCGATGCCCACATACGAGCCGGCATCGATATACAACTACAGCAACCGTAACCCCGTACAGGCATCGCCAGTGATCGGGGCTGCCAATGCACGAGTTCGGAGTACACGAGCTCCTCGAACTTCCCACGCAATGCCGAAACGAACCCGCAATCGCCGACACACTGATCCCGCTAATGCCCCATACCACTGCCATATTTGCACCGACAGGGGGTTTGCCAGGAAATACAACCTCAACCAGCACATGCTTACACATGAGCAGGAGCGAAAGAGGCCGAATATCTGCCCACACCCTCAGTGCAGAAAGATGTTTGTGCGCAAGACAGATCTGGCTCGACACGACCAGAGTGTGCACACAGATAACAGACCTTGGAAGTGTTCAAGGTGCCCTGCAACCTTTCCTCGGAAAGACACGCTTGGCAGGTCAGTAATCACCCGATCATGTGTTCATTCCATCTTGCTAACAACTTCTCAGACACGAGGAAGATGGATGTAGTCGCCGCACCCAAGTGCATGCCGACGACGCAGCATTTGCGCGTTCGAAACTCTGATCGACGGCATAGGTCAGACTCAGCCGCTACATGACTCTTTATCGATCAGAAAGGGCTGTCCCTGCACCAACACTCGATACATGCAGCACGAGAGGACACGTCGGAAGCAGTTCGATCAGTTGAAATACTCTACGACGGGTCCTAGCAAGTCGTATCTCTATCTAGTTTCAAGGTTTTCTTTACATTGCGTGGGTGGAAATTTGCAACAATGGCGTTTTAGTGCACTCCAAAGAATGTGAGAGCAATAGAAAAACTGTAGCTACTTGGTGAGGTTGCCCTGCTTCATCGCGTAACGGCCCCTCTTGTTTACTAGGCGAATATGATCACGCTCGTTCACACTACACCATGAAACCTCTGCAATATAGAAAACTCAAATCATGAGCAGCTCGTCTAGCATGGTACCCTAGCAGTCTAGGGAGGCTGGAAGGACGCCACCTAGATCGATCCAACGAGACTGGCTACAATAAGCCGGCACTGCCCACAACGTCTTTCTGTGCGACCCACCTTAGGCGGGGGTACGCCGGGGACCACTACCGCAAGCCACGAAGCGCGACCCTTGTCAGGTCAAGACTACATGGATGTGAGCTGTTTGTGAAGTGTTGCAGGTATGGTGCATATTAAGCGCCCTCGATGTGAGCGATTTCACGCAGGCCGCATCTGACTGGCCAACGATACGCTGGGGAGGTGGCACGGTGAAATAGCTTGCGGACGGACCCACGATGCTACAAATTAGACGCAGCATGCTCTTTTGCTGGTTATATTACCTGTGATTCCAGTCCAAAACTAGTCTGGGTCAACTATAGCAACAGGGTCAGTGGGCGGATGTTGCTCATGCTAAGTTGGAGCCTTTCCACCATGTCATGCACCGCTGCCGACCCACATCGCAAACCAGTCCCGGAACTTGTCTCTGCACCTTACCCGTGTACTCCAGAGACTAGTCGCGTAGCGTTGTGATGGGCGCTTAATGTTTGGCCGTGTGGCCTTGTCTTATCTGGCTCGAGCCATGTCGGCTCGTTGGTTGCAGCCCTTGAGCACGCTAGTCCCCACACGTCACGGCCGCCAAGCTCTCTCCCACCATGATCCTCCTCCGACCTCCCGAATCTGGCCGTTCTCGTTTCGACGCGTCTCTTTTCGCTTACCCTTCAACCCAGACCCGTCGCAATAACGGCGACCTTTGCTGCCTAACCCGGGATTCTGGGTCTGAGCCAGCCAGCTGCTGCACGTTGTTTTGGCCCCTAACATCCTTCCCCTCCTCCGTACTGACACAGACGATGCGATCAGCGTTTTGCTCGACACGACGAACTGTGCATGACGACATCAGATCAAAGAGGAAAGGATCGCGCGACAGACATTCTGCCCCAGGCGCCACTCAGGTGACGCTCGTCGTATGCGAGTGACAGCCTTCATATGCAACGGGACGGGGCCTTCTCATTCCATTTTGGCTAGCCATCATCGCTCGGCTTCCATGCTCCATGCCGCGGAATCAAGGAACAAGTCACCTGTGCCGGGCCGGACAGGTCCATCTCGACTGAGACATTCTGCTGCAATGCACATCAGTCGGGTCGCAGTTTGGGCCATTGCAACATCGGCATATCTTTGCAATCACCTCCACATAAACTATACAGTCTGCATGTATTGCTGGGGATTGACGGCATACCTATACGAGCATCGCTTCCTCTTCTATTGGTCAACTCATCAACCTAATAACACCATGAGAATGGCCGAGCCTGCTTCCGCCCGGTCCAACAACGGGTCGTCACTGACGAGCACCAGCCTGTTGTACCACGGCATCGAGTCTCGCCGACTGCAGCGCTCGACCATGCTTAGACCACACAGCAACGTAGATTCGATCGCTCGAACTCACTAATGTACAACCAATTGTGCCGCGCACCCACCATGTTCCTGCAGTGAGCTGACCGGAAGATCCACGTGTAATCTAAGCAGTCAGCAATCTACCATGCGACCAGCCGCACCAATTTTACGGGAAGGAAAGTGCAGCGGTTCACAAGTCTGTAAAAAACAGAGCGAGACCCAATACGCGTGGTTTACATGGGTCATACGGATAAGGTCACGGGGACCAAGTTCTCGAAACAATCCTACGAAGGAGTGTTTCATGGCCGAACACTGGCCGGCCCATGTAGCTTGTTGGATATTCCATTGTGACAACGCCAGAAGTCTACGCGCCACATGGGCCTACGCAGTATATGAGTAAGAGTAACCTGGTTTGATCTTGCCGCTCATTGCACACATTACCTGCTAGGCTGGCTGAGAATCACGCCGGTGCAATCTCACAGGCCTAGTAGCAAGAGGAAAGTCTGCCTCTGCGGAAGAGACCCTGACGACGTCAGAATCCATAGTTGTCTATGTCCCTGCTTATTGCGATACCACATATAAGACAGCCGCATGTTCCTTGTGCAATCTGACGTTCCAAATCTTGTTACAGGTTACTGGAAAACCACACACATGGCACTGGATACACACTGGACGCAACACCACGCGGTTGCCATGCACGCATATTTTCTGGCGCGATGTCGTGCGAATCGCGTTTCTCAAAGCGCTAGACGGCGCTTCTAGATTCTAAGTCGATCGGTAAGGCGTTAAAAAAAACCTGGAGTTGCCGCGATGCTTCCGCTGCCCGCGCGAGCCGCAAAACCCCTGCTAGCGATGTTTGTAGCCGCGTCCATAGTCCGCGATAGACGCCGGCTCGCTAGAGGTGTGCAGTGCAGCTAAAAACAACGTCGGATGGTGGGTGCTTTCACCCCGCACCTGCGCTTCCTGTGAAGACATGATATAGTTGCGAATGAGAAATTGGAACTCGAATATTTCTACTCTCTTGCTCTACTCTTACTTTGCTTTACTGGCCCGTCTCATCATCTAGAAGGTGCGTGAGGTCCCAGCTGGTCAGGCCCCCCTTCCACGTCGCTCATCAGCAATTTCTGTTCTCGCGTCGAGCAGGGGTATAGCGCTGACGGCTTGAATCGATCCGCCGGCTGCAGTGGAGCAGGCTCAGGGCTTATGACAGTCTCTACCCACATACAGCGCCAGCCTGACTCTTGCAGTGGCTCTGAGTGCCGAAGCTACACAATACCCTGCAGAACCAGTGGAGCTATTAATGGGGAATCTGTTCTCACCTTGGAATCATGGTATTTTGCATAGGTAAAAAACAATTCGGACTGCACTCTTCGGTATTAACACGTCCAATTAATACAGGGCCCTTTTTAAACGTATGTAAGCCACTCCTAGACCGCGCGATCGTTTTCGTTGGCTCGGCGTGCAGTCTTCACGCTCGGGAATTGAAACGGAGAATGATACCACATATTTCCGGTATCCACTAGAAGCTCATCAGGTTTCTTTCGTGTACATGTACCAACCGTACGAATTTCCCAAGGAGGTTTACTACGTTCGGGTATGGTATACTCTTTCCCCGGCCAATAGCATTGGAGAACGCACGGACAGCGTACCGAATACAGCCGGAAGCCGAACCTTGGAACTATATGTGGTACTGTATTGCCACTAATGTTATGCAAAACCCACATCAAATACCAGGAGCTAGGTACGCTTGTGATCCTACTGCGACTCTGGTGACTTGGCAGATGGCTGTCCACGATCGAAGAGGAAGGCGGCGAGCTACGTACCGTTCGTGGTTAGTCCGCACACATTGCGCATGTGAATCACAAACTGCTCAACACCAGACAGAAGGCTCAATGTGAGGCTGAACACTTTTCTGAGGCTTACATGCTAATTGTTAGACGCAGCAGGACTATCGAGATATGTGCAGTCTAAGTATAACTTGGTCCGAGGCGAAGCAGTGCTCGAAAGGTTCCTACGACCCAATCGCTTGGTTCAAGAATTCCATCACCCTCATGATGCCAGACTAAACCCTCTAGGAATATCCGCGAATGATGTTGGCGGCATCTCCGTTCATCTTCACAATCAGCCTCGCCAGGTTCGGGGTCCATCTTTAAACAGTTAGGACGCTTGGCATACATACGGCCTTTCCCTTGCTTCGGCACTGTGGCAGGATGCCGTCCAATATTGTAGCCCCGTGTCTTGTGACGATTGCAGAAGCAGCCTTGACATTGAGCCCCAAATGTCGAATAAAAATGATGAGAGATGCATATCGTCCGCGTCCCCTGGCCCCCTTTCTTCAATCTTACAACGGTGAGGCACAGCCAGATCGGTGCGGCAACTGGAAACTCCCGCAAGCGTTTGCTGTCCACAAACGGCCGATTCTCCGAGATCGTCGACTTAGTGGGCGCGAAGCTGTGCCGCCCGATCATAGCGAACGATGAACGCAAACCGAGCGCAGACAAGAACCCTCCGCGGGGGATAAGCCTGGATCTCCTCATCTCGCTTGCGGGGAAGCACAACCCTGACTTCCTGCCTGAAAATCGTACGAGCATCGAAAACACAAATGACTAGACGGCGATGTCGAGCTATGATGCTCGCAAGCTGCATTGCAGATGACAGCACATCCAGCAGACCGGTAGCGATCTCTCGGCGCTCACACACGCTGTCACACCAATCGATTCGAAAGTCCCACCAACAACGCCGGCACGCGCATGTCCACGACTCCCGGCAGGATACTTCTTGCAGGACGAAATTCACCGAGCTAAACAAAGAGTTCCTTGTGGATGGAAAAAATGCAGCGAAACGAAGCCGAGTTGTAGGGAGACCAACACGATAACCCTGCATTCCAACAATCCAACTCAGGCAGGAGCAAATATGCGACAGCGGTCACACCCGGATCGACTCCGTCTTTGCAATTTCAGAAATGGCATCCCCCACCCTCCATCCTGCAGATGCCCGTTGCCACAACGTGTGATGCACTGTGCCTTCTCGTGGCCATTGATTACGCGCCAGCCGCCCGCCGATCGACATCACACCAGTGTTATCGGCAACCGCCCTGCATTTAGCCCTATCTTGGCCGGTGGGATGAGACAAAAAGATGGATATTTGCATAAGTCGAGCGGGTTGGGTGAACGCATATTGGCCTGTCTAGGCAGGAGACATTCGAAACAGGTGGGTGACAAGTCGATTATATTTGCTAACATTGGTCTCGAATGGCGGTAAATTTACCCTCTCAACGGTTCAGCCGTTCGCGCTTAGAAGCCGCGACCTGCGACGGCCCATGGCAGACAGGCCTCAGCAAGAAGGATGCCGGCATCCGAAATTTCCATGTCCGTAGGCTGTCTGCTCCCGTGCTGAATTGTCACTCTGACCGGTCCATGTGGGTAAAGATCAATTGTGAGTGGTACTCGTACTTTCCCTACTGATTGGCTCGGACGGCGAGACGATGTGCCCTTGGCGCTCTTCGGAGTAAATTCAATCACGGCCGAAAAAAGAGGGGAGATAGGTCGAGAAGGCTTCGCAGGATCATGAGTATGTAAAGGTAAGCTTCCGTGCCTCACGGAAGAGGCTGCTTTCCGGAAGCAGGTAAGACGCATCAGCTCTCCGCAGTGGCTGACGCAAAGTACGACAATCCTCCAGACACCACGCCGACGATTATCGTAACGAGCTTTACCGCACATGTCTTCAGCCCGTAATATCAGGTCAATCACTGGGGTCGTTCTTCGCGCTCCCCGAACGCACGTGCACTGGAAGCGCGCTTTCAGACCCCACGCTATTCGAAATCAAACGTTGGGACCCAGTATTACACCATATGACGCTTGATTCTGAGGAAAACATGCTAGATACAGAAAAGTAGGTACAGCGACGCTGCCCAAGTAGACCATCAGCCACTGTCGATGAGACATCAGCCGCTGGTTGGGCCACCGGCAGTATACAGTCGGTCGCCACCACAGTCAGGGTGATCCTTTGGTCTCAACCGTATGTGTGCGACCCAACGATGTGGTAAATAGGCCAAGGTGAGCCCATGGATGATACTGTATGTACAAAGCGAGTCAGTAAGCCACCATTCGCGTCGCGAGTCTGTGTCGGCGCAAAACTAAGGTGACTAGCATACGGCTGGTAGTGCCATGACGTGAAGCTCGTCTGTTATTCCCTGATCGAGCTCTCAGACAGCAGACAGAGCTCGCCCATGGGTATAGGACTTTGGGAGGAGCTAAGGAGTAAGTAGGTAGTAGCTTTGTTCGCTTCTTCTTCCCAAAAAGAAGTAGATTGTGCGGCGAAACCACATAACCACCTACGTATCTCGTTCCTTGTACATGGGGTTTCCCGGCTTTACGCAGGAGCCTGCTTCTGGTACGATGTGCTTCTGCCATGCAGACAAGAACCTTGCTATGCAGTCAGTGCAGTGGTCTAACGAGCTGGACACTTCCAAGACTTCAATGTAACACGCAAGTTCGTGACAAACGAAAGGCCAGAGTGACTGAGACCATGGCAGCCATCACTGCGAGAGCATGCTTCACCGCCTGAATCTCAGTTTTTGATGACGGCGAGGTAGCTTTCGAACGACCAGGGCCTGCACAGTGGCGGTCCGGTACAAGCGAGACGTCATGCTGCTTCCAATCACAACTCCCAAGCTCCTTGCTGTGGTACAGTGAAGGACCATTCTGTGATGATACAATATATCGTTCATGCACACTGTGTTACACGTGGAGTCTAGACCCAGCGATGGCATGCCTTGTAGACACCAATTGATGTCTCGTTGGTCATGGAAACCTTGACTTCAGGTGCTGGTCGACATATCCAACGGGCATGCGACTCTACCTCATCACATACACTGTGTTTGGTATTGGGTAGAAGCTGAACTATAGCCAGGCAGCAGGAGTCAGTGATGATGCTCACCGGAATGCCTTATGGCATCCTCTTGCGAACATTCTGCCAGCGGCTGGAATTCTAAGGCGAGAGTATTGTCTTGGAGATGCCTGTCAATTCAAACGCTACTTCGATGAAGGGCGCATGAGTTCAGGCATCGGTATTGTTAGAAGCGCTGGCCTGGCTTCGCCTCCAGCTGTGGTTGGCATCTCGAAGTGGGTGTGGATATCTAAGCCCCAGCACTGACGCTCGATAGGTTTCGCTCATCGCATGAAAAATCAGGAAGACTTGGATATGGAACTGTTATAATGGATATTCATGTCTGCCGTTCTAAATATACTACATGTTCATCTACATATCGTACCTGCGCAAGCACCGAGATGCAGTGTTGAGGCGGTGCAGCACTGCCCTGCCTGTGCCGCATGCACGTCAACTACTACGCCGTATCATACTGCCGTGTTAATCGTCATTCGTGAATTATTCGTCATCTCTTCTTCGCCTATCGCTTCTGCCCGTCACCAAACTTTTGTTGGGTGCTTAGATGAAGTCTCCATCACCAAAGCCACCGAACGGGTTTGGTGGTCGTCCACCTGCTCCGCCGAAACCACCAGGCCCTCCAAAGCCGCCCCCGCCTGGGAACATGGGCCCTCTCCCTCTGTCCTCCCTCAGTGGATCTCCTGGTCCTAGAGGGTCATAACGAGCCCCCGGGGGTGCTCTGGGATCATATCCGCCCTGCCCACCTTGACCGCGAAACAGCGGATCATCGAATGTCGGATGCATACCGCCCCCACCGAAACCGCCAGGCCGTGGCAGTCCTCCTGCTAAGTGCGGACGAAGGGGATCGTTTGGTCCGAGACCTTGTGGGTATAAGTCATCGTGACCGATGTTGATCGGATTGTTGCCAGGCATGCGACCAGGCTGCCGGTTCATGCCCAACTCGTCGTCGAAACCGGGTATTGGCTCAGGGAGATGCCGCCCGGAGCCTGGTCGTGCAGCGAGAGGATCGTTGAATGGATATGGTCGCGCAGGCTCTGGCTCGGTGGCGGGCTGCCGTGGGTTGGCAGGCTCTCCTCGCTGTGGTTCTTGCCGACCTGCTGTTGGGGTACGCTCGCGATCGGTGTTGCCCTCCTCATAGCCTGGCTTGTTCAGCCCAGGTGCCAGCTTCTGTATGACCGATATCTTGAGGAGCGAGCCGAGGTCGTTCAGCCTGCCTGGAGAGATGAACAGCTCTTGCACCTTCTCCGACACCTGCTCAGTTGATGTGTCTTCAGACACGCTGAATGGTAACTGTGATTCAGATATGTAGTCCTTGGTCGTGACTTCAAAATGTGTGGTCTTGTCATCGCCGAGCGCGAGAGCGTATACGACTGCTTTGCCTCCCAACCTGTTGACCTTGACGAGGTACTCCATGGCTGATTGCGCGTGGGCGTATCTGAAAGCGTACGAAGATGATGCATTCCATTCTTTGGGTAGTGACTCTGGGTTTTCGGCGTCTGCGTGCGCTTCTATGAGTTCCCGAGTTACGACGTGTAAAGGTAAAGGTGAATGAGATGGGTGCTTACCTATGCGCTCGTCTTCGCCCAGCCCGATGAGGCGGAAGCCAACAGCAAGCATGCCGGCGTGAACGGCTAGTGCGACGGCTTCGGTGCCATTCTTGAGCTGTGATGATTCGCCTTTTGGCAGCGACGTTGCCATGAACAGCGCGAGCGAACCCGAGCTCAGCGGGTTGCCCGTTGTGGTTTGATGTACCATCTTTACGTATGCCGGGTTTTTTGTGATAGTCGAAGTTGCGCAGAGCAGACGAGGGGATTCGTGGACGTAGTTACAGCTCGCGTATGTTTGATGGAGGTGTGGTGGTGTGTCGAAGTTCCAAGGTTGATGGAAATAAATGTACTATGGTTGGAGTTCAGGCAGCGGCCAATGACGCGTGGGCGGGGCATGGGGAACGCGCTAGAGCAATGCACGATATCTGTTCATGCACGATGCAAGCGCCAGATTCGATAAACTCGCTGCTGTACTACTGGCATGACATCACTGTCCAAATCAAAGTTTCCGCAAAAAGCAAGTAATATTGCCGAGCGATGGAGATGCTCAGTATGCACCTATGCGTAAATCAAGACTATCGTGCTACTCCAAAGGCATGTGCGCCAGACCATGGGGAATACTGTGGGACCAAATACGCCAGAGGCAATGCAAGAATGAGAAGGGGCTTAAAGGAAAGTGCATCGAGCCATATGTTGGAAAATCTATTCAGGCAAATCCTGCGAGTTGCTTGCTGCGAGTTCATTTGGTTCAAGAAGGCTGCAGTCAGCGTTAGCAGGCATCAAACGGCAAGAAGCGAACGGACAACGTACGAGTACTGTTTATACAGTGTTCCCTCGCCTCCTTTCTCCAAGTCGATGTTGAATACATAGTAGTTACCTTCACTGGTGACTACCATGATCTGAGGACCGTTGTTGTTGAGCGCTACCACGTTCCTAACAGGCCCCGAGGAAGAGCTTGTCGGAGAGCGTGGTATTTTGACCCACGCAAAGTCGCGTGAGGGCTCCCAGATCTCTGCTACAGCGCTGGGTAAATATCCGCCGACGGTAGCAGCGAAAGACTTCCCAACGGTCTGCGATGTGCGTCGAATCAAGCTCCCGAAAGTGGGATTGATGGCTTTCCGCTCCGGAGATGATACGTCTGCTGTGCTGGCACCGAATTCATCCGCTGTCTCTTGGCTCGTTCGGCTACTGCTACGTGCATGAGATGCGCCCATGGGCTTGCTGGGCCCGGAAGATACGCTATTACTCCTGCTGTTGGGCGCTCCTAGGCGGAAGATGTGGACAGTATCACTCGCCGATGACACACTAAGCAAGGTCGATGTCGAGTTGAAAGACATGCTGTAGATCCTCGCCGGGATGGAGCCTCTCCTGAACTGGTACAGCTTCTGCGCATCGGGTATGGAGAAGACGCGGATGATGGTGCCCTTTTCTGATGCCGTTGCCAGTAGGGTGCCATCGCTGTTTAGCGCTATGCAGGATAGCGGAGAGTTGTGCGCCTCAATCACGTTGACTGCCTCCTTCTTTGTAGCATCATATATGAGGACTTCTCCGCTTGTGGGTGCGATGTGATCGGCTTTGGGCGGTGCGTGCGAAGGCGGCTGGAAGGTAGCGGGTGCGGCTTTGGTGGGCAGCGGATACACGAGGTAGTTGTTCTCGGACGATGCTGAGAGAGCGCATATCGCTATACTCATTAGCATTTGTGGAGTGCTGTCTCTTGCGACGTACCATTAGGGTTAGGCGATGTCTTCTCCGTCTTGAGCATCTGCAGGTTGCTTATATCATAGATATACAGTTCCGACTCGAGCACGACAACGATGCGTTTCCTGTTCATGCGAATGGCGAGGATGGCTGTCCGGAATGTCATCTCACATATGGTCGAGTGCCTCTTGTCCTTGTCAGTGCGTGCATGGCCAGAGTCGCCTGTCCGACGAACCTTGGTGTTTTGTATGCGCAGCACGCGTGGTGACAGCGTGAGCGCTACCAGCGACGTGGAGAAGAGCATCTCCAGGCTAGAGACATCTCCCTCGCGCGACTCGGACTGCTTGGTAAACGGGTCTGTGGTATATATGCGGTAGCCATTGGGCGTGCCTGTGCGATTAGGTCAGTACATGGTGGGCGGCTGGCAGACAGGGCGCATACCGACGCCTAGATGGCTATGGTCCTGGTTGAAGGTTACGAAATTCATCGCTGGAGTCTGCCCTTGGCTGCGCGGTTCCGAGTGATGCGAGGGCTGGGGACTATCCGCGTGATAGCTCGGTGAAGCTGTAGGCCGCCGTTCGCGGGGGTCCAAGCCCTACAAGCGGGTGCGCAAAGGTAATCGCAGGCCCGGGCGATAGCGATGCCGATAGCGATGCGTGTCTACGCCGGTGCAAGTGAATGAAAAAGATAGCCTGGGCCTGTTCGTAGGTTGCAGCTACCGCCGTCTGACGATGGTTCACGCGCCCATGCAGGGATCCCGAGGTCAGCTTAGCCCCGCGTAGTGGCTGGTGCTCCAAAAATCATTCCTCTCCCAATGCCATGTTCATACCATCAGTAAAGACCAGAACATGACGAAAGACGCCAAGATGCGCTCAAAGAAGGCTGCTGCAAAGCACCAGAGTAACCAGAAATCCCTGCGCGAGCGAAGAGATGTAGACATTATGAACGTGAGGTCCCCAGCCTCTTCCGCCCATAGATTCCTCATAGCCACTCAACTAATACCAAAGTCAGACGAATGACAGCAGCATTGTGTCCAAGAGAAGCGTATCGAAACTGTATCTCAGCCTTGAGCCCGACTTCTATGAGCCTTTTGTACCAAAGTTCGTTCGACGCAGTACGCCACTTTCATACCACTTGCACGTGAGACATGGACTGATTCCGTTCAGATCCGTTGATCAATCGCGGGTATTGGCTACGAATGCATGCCATTGAACAAGTAGTCCGCCGGTTCTTGGAAGAAGAGAACGCAAAGCCCAAGATTGTGGTGAACCTAGGATGTGGATAGTGAGTAAGACATCCGTCGTCTCGACTTTGAACACAGTGAGAACCTACTAAGTCCAGAAAGTGATCCCTTGCCATTCCAGTTTTGGCACAGGTATCCAGCCCTCACGCAATCGTCTACGTTCGTCGACGTCGACTATCCGCAATTGATGCAACGCAAAAGAGATACCATGCTCAGCAACGGTCTTCTTCGAGACGCCTTGCTCAGGACTAAACTTCGTCAGTCCGAACAGCCTGTATATCTTCGTAGCGACGGCTACTTGGCTCTGGGATGTGATCTAAAGGACCTTGCCACACTCGAACGCCTTCTGCGGGCCGAGTTCGATGTCCCCTCATCTTCAATCCTGTTCGTCGCAGAAGTGTCCGTAACCTACATGCCGCTAAAGGACTCTGATGCTCTCATAAAATGGGCTAGTACTATCGAAGACGGTATGCAGATTCGTCAAACCCTGCTCATAACCTATACTAACATCTGTAGCTCGCTTCTGTATACTAGGTATTCAATCCTTCATATGTTTCTACTATTTCGCTTATACTGACTCCATACTGCATAGAGCAGTACCTTCCGCAGGGCCCAGCCCATCCCTTTGCCAAGACTATGCTGTCTCACTTCGACAAGCTACAAGCATCAATCAACGCGGTTAAGTTGCATTCATCATTAAACCAGCAAGCCGCTCGTTTCCGCAATGCAGGATGGCCCACAGTAATCATGGCCCGCAATCTGTGGGATCTATGGTCTGATGATGGCTTTACCCCTCCCGCCCTTCGATGCGGGCTGAATGCAGTGGAGCCGTTTGATGAGTGGGAAGAGTTTGCACTCTTTGGAGGTCATTACTTCCTACTCGTCGCTTCAAATGCAGAGCAAAGTAGATCGATCGATTCAGCCTATGATGAGGCAACAGCCACCACAGCGTGCCGGGAAACCACTGCTGCAGGAAGTATTACCCTTCACACCTTGGAATTATCGGGTGGTGCTGCCGTGACGCCACGTCGTTTCACAGCAGCTTTCGCTTTCGACAAGGACTCGGTGGCCTTCCACGGAGGTCAAGGGACGCAAGCCCGTCTCGCCGATTTGGACACACTGACGCGGGAGGATCACAACGGGCATCATACCGTCCAGCCTTGTGGCTTGCTTCCTGCTGCCCGCGTATGCCATACTATCACATCAATGCGCAACGGTGAAGCGTTGTTGGTCGGAGGCCGCGGATCGCCCACCCAGGCTTATGCAGATTGCTGGCTCTTCGATCAAGGAGCTTGGGCCAGAGTGGACGACCTTGTGCCAGCTCGGTACCGCCATTCTGCTGTTGCCGTTGTATTAGGAAGTGTGGAGTCACAGACTCACGGCGTCTTCGTCTTTGGTGGCAAAGCCAGTGACGGCACAGTACTCGATGACGAACATTACTGTGCCTTGTGGACCGCCAACAGCGGATGGAACAGCATTCCCGTCGACGGACCGCGCCCGTCTGCACGCTTCGCCGCCGCGATGTCCACGATCGATTTTGCTCAAGATTGGGGGTTGCTGACAGGTGGTGCAGACGAGAGCGGCGTGGTCGTGCAAGACGCAGTGTGGGAGTGGTCCATTTCCGCCACACCAACACCTAGACTCAACTTTAGGGACCGCGCCAATGACGTTCGCAGCACCTTGGAGAACTCTGCATACGCGCGTATAGGCGCCAGTCTGGTTCCCTGGAACGATTCTTTGCTGTTGATTGGAGGTGTTTCAAAGAAGCATATTCACTCTCTATCAGACGACTTCCTGCTCTTGACATGCAAGGACACGACAATCGAGGTGGAGCATCCTAGTATGCAGGCCCTGCCGCTGACTACATGGCCTTTGCTAGTGGGTGTAGGGGCCGTTTCAACCTCTCGAGGCGAGGTTGTGCTTGCAGGAGGAGGGGCGGTCTGTTTCTCAATGGGAAGCTACTGGAATGAAGACCCGATCGTCATCCTTCCTGGTAATGCGCAAGGAGCCAAGTCGTGGCGTCGCGCTGTGCCGAGTCAGATCAGCGGCACAGCAGGCACAGAAGGCACAGCACAAGCGAACATGACTGAAACGGGGCCCAAAGGTCGGCGACAGAAAGGTGATATGGAGAAGAAGACACCTACTACTGCTGCACGTACTACCGAGATTGCAAGGGTACAGATTGAGTCGTCAGATGACTTTGCGAAGCTGGCGGCTACGTCAAAACCGGCCATCATCGAAGGCCTCAATATCGGCCCGTGCACAGACCTATGGACACTTGACTACCTGAAGGAGAAGCTTGGCCCAGAGAGGGAACTCGTCATTCACGAATGCTCATCAGATCGTATGACGTTCAAGGACAAAAACTTCTCATACGTCAAGAAATCCGTGGCAGATTTCCTCGACGGTATCGCACAAGGGTCTCATGAATATCTTCGTGCTGTATCGTCAAGTCAGCCAAACAAGCTGCCTACCAAGCTTGAAGATGACTTTCCGACTATATCCGACGACTTTCGCGTGCCAGATCTATGCAATTTAGTCAAGGAAAACTACCACAGCTCGCCCCTTCGCATCTCAGGACCTGTGACCTTATGGCTACACTACGATGTTCTATCCAACATCCTTTGTCAAGTTCGCGGTTCTAAAATCTTATTTCTCTACCCACCTACCGATGTTTCTCTGTTGGGCTTCCCTCCCGGCGGCTCCTCTTCCAACATTGATGTCCTGACCTCCAAGGACCAAAGGCTTCGGCGTACTCATCCGCACATTGCTTCACTCAAACCCGGTGACATTTTATACATACCGCCCATGTGGAGCCATACCGCTACGCCAGAAGATGATGTGAGCGTTGCAGTCAATGTGTTCTGGAAGGGGTTGGAGAAAGGGTATGCGGCAGGGAAAGACGTCTATGGTAACAGGGACCTGCAGGCGTATGAGAATGGGAGAAGAGATGTAGAGAAGATTGTCAGAGCGTTCAAAGATCTACCAGTCGATATTTCCAAGTTCTACTTGGAGAGGCTGGCGGGTGAGATTCTGGAAAGGTCGGATAAGCTGGAAGAGAGGAGGAAGGAGGGCGGGAAGGAATGCGAATAGTAGACAGCGTATATGCTTTTGCTAGAGTACGACCATGTCAACATCTAGTGCTTTTCATTCCACACTTCGTTCCATCGTCCCGCATCCAGCTCCACAGGCCCATCAAATCGACCAAACCTCGGAGGTCCAGTGCCTGGTTCGGGTAGACATATCCACTCTCGTATACATCCAGGTACTTCATGCTTACTATGACTGACACACAGTAGAGCTTGGTGTCCTTGTAACCCGGGTACCACAATCTCACCTTCCCACTTCACCGCTTTTAAGCCAGCATCTGAAGGGACAAGTTCCATACTTTGACCGCGACTAAGGAACAATAGACACTTGTCGCGAACGAGCTCGTCCATACCACTGAACGCTTCATCGAGGATGACGATGTCAGGATTTCGGATCGTAGCGCGAAGGAAGAGGAGTACGCGTTGAGCGGAGAACGACACCTCACCGAAGAGAGTGTTAGATGCCCATTCCAGGCTCGCACTTCCGTCGCCACTGAATCCAGGTCTAAGTTCCGCTTCGAACCACCGCAAGCATGCATCCACTCTCTTCCTCGCGTCATCGTCTAGTCTCGGCCTTGTAATTGGCGTATCTGCCCATGCACTCTCCAATGTCGTTCTCAGTGTTAGTCTCTTTGGAAACAGGGCGTGAACTTCCGGACTCGCATGGCCCATTCGCGACTGGACTTCGAATATGGTGATGCCTGGAACGCCGGGTTCGGGCAGACGCGAGCGTTGGAAGAGTTTGACTGGAGCCGAGTAGGTCTGTGGGTGGTCTGATGTTACAAGCGAGAGAAGGGTGGTTTTGCCAGAACCGTTGGCACCGCTAATTGTAGGGGTACGAAGTCAGTGTATGTGTCACACGTTATTCGCACATGAACACTTACAATACACCCCAACGTTGGTTGCGATGGACGTTCCAGTGCAGCCCGGATTGAGATAAGCCGTTAAAATTCTGTTGCCAATCCCCCAAGACGGAGTTCTGGCCGTAGGCTATGCGTACTCCTTGCATTTCGACAATAGCTTCGCCAATCTTGGGTATAGAATCGTCGGCATTTTGATAGCCATCGCGGCTTAGTGTTGGCGTATCCGATGATTTTGTGGGACGTTCTCTTCCAGGGGCAAGTCGTCCTGTTTCGCTTGTCTCTGTATTGATGGAAGTCCGCTTATACTCCTCTGTGCTTTCAGCTTGGCCGTAGGTCTGTGAAAAATCTAATACCTCGTCTTTTAGCCCCATCTTTTCAACCTTTCCATCCTCTCCAGCGTACACAAGATGCGTAACCCATTCCGGTATTTCATCCTGCGGTCTCAGACTGAGAACGATGCGTGGTGCATTAGCTTCTGCGAGCCGGTGCAAAACCTTGGAGATGTGCCTTGTGACGATGGGGTCAAGTCCAACTGTTACACTATCAGCTCGCTCCTCTCAAACGTGTGATAGCAGTGCACGTATGGAATCACAACTCACTAAATGGTGCATCCAAACAAAGCATCTCAGGCCTACTTAACAAGGCTTTCGCAATTCTCGCCCGTCTACTCTGCCCATTACTCAGCATGCTGACTGGCTTGTCAATGAACCTCTCCAATTCTAAATCACGCATAACCCGTGTCATGTCCTCTTCGTCCACGCTCTTTGCTTTGAGTTCCTCTTCGCCAGGGTTCATCGTTACAATACCGGTTAGGTACCTTTGGACGGTAAAGTCCGTATCTTCTCTCAGAGACTCATACCGTGCCGATAGATAGGCGCCACCAAAAGCTTTCCGCTCAACGTCGAAGCCAACATACTCAATGGCTCGCTCTGGGAAGCGGAGGCGTGGTCTTTCCTCGGCGATGGCTGGCGTGAGGAGGTAAGGGAAAGACCGCGCTGTTGGTGGGAAACAAAGTAGTTGACCGCGAAGTATTTGTAGAAACGCGGTGCGAATGTCGGATGATGGGCTCAAAATCGCCCAATGCTGATTTGGTGTCGAGAAAGACGGTAGAGACAGCGTCAGATCTGGGAACAATGGTGGATTTGAAGACGCTTTATCGTCCTTTGAAGAAGGGTGTTGGCGATAGAATGTGCCATTGGCGATCCTGACAATAGGCGGCGAGGAATGGAGTCTACGTGAAGCGTGGAGACGTGCGCATTGCGTGGCTGCAAAGAACAGCGCTTGCGTTCTGCGCATGTCGAGAGATGGGTGTTGCTGCGCTCATGTTCGTGGATATTTGGTCTGGATTGGGTGGTGTTTGCCGCAGCGGAAAAGTGTCCGTGTCCGCGACAAAGTAGGAATGACGTCGTGCGCGGTCGCTGTCTGCCGAGGTACATTTTAGCTTAGGTTCCGCATCATTATTGCGACGGATAGAGAGTTGGCTGGGTCATTGTCGCGCGAGCAACTTGACATGATCCACAGTCTGCAGCCTTCGAGGCCAAAGGTTCGCCATTTCCTATCGTAATCCTTCGATGCTTGCTGACGTGATGTAGCCTCTCCAGCAGTCCTTAGCAGCCTCATACGCGCACCAACAGCGACGCGCCGGCCACGCGCCGTCCCAATCCCCTCAGCAGTCTACGCCAAAACACTCAGACTCGCCTCTAGATCCTCCAAAACCGCGATCCCAAATCGAAGCCATGCCACCTTTCGGTCCCCCGCAAACACCAGCCACCTTCTTCACACCTGTGTACGACAGCGCCATACGGCATCCAGTCTTCTTCACCCAGAACCTGAAGAAGCCGCCGTTTCCTATACCACAAGTCGCTAGTCAGGGTTGCAGTCCGGTTGCGAGTGGATATGTAATGGAGCAAAGGAGAGCAGAAGTGACAGGGAAGACTAAGTTATGATCTTGGGTAAACGACACGATGGCGTTAAGGAGTATAAGCGAACCGTATTGGCTTGTGTCGAAAGAATGAGAAATATGCGAATGCTCGAGAGTCAGTGCGAGCTCTGTCAAGTCAGCCTTCTGGTTGGCTGGGCATGTTGGATTGACTGGGACACTCGCTGTCTTGATTGCTCTACCAATCGATTGCTCGTATCGTTCTACTAACTAGTGCTACGTAGTGTAGCGGGTATCTACAATGGCGAATGCTCCACAAATGGTCCTCTCTATTTCCGAGTTTTCCTCTCGGGCCATCACATCCGTGTATCCCGATGGAGCCCGTGTACCTCTGATGATATACCAGCTCCATCCTTTCATGTATTCCCACCTCTAAAGGCTCTGCCGCCCTACGAGATTGCTGGGTAGCAGTGCCGTTGTGATAACGCAGCCCAATGTCACACCTCCAGCTAGATACAATACGCTGTTGATATCTCTTCCAGCACCATCTCCCGCATATAGATGCTGCGCAATGAGCGGGCTGACGATACCAAACAACCTGCCCCAGAAACTCGCGATACCGCAGGCTGTTCCTCGAATGGGTGCTGGGAAGGCCTCAGGCGTCCAACCATACAAGACGGAGTTGAACATAGACTGGAAGAAGTACTCCATGACGTTGAAGCCTATGTTCGAAGCTGCAGAATTGACACTGCTGAAGAGGAAGATGGAGATACCCATCAATGCAGAGGAAACGACCATGGTCCATTTGCGACCAACGCGTGATGCGCGGTAAGACAAAGTTCCGAGCACAACGCCGAGAACCCCAGGAAGATAGATGAAGATATAAGAGCGGTAGGTGTAGCGTAGAGAAAGATCGAGGGCGCCATTCTTCACGGCCAGAATTTGTGGTAGGTAAGTGCCTGGATTGAGGGTCAATATATGTTCATCAAGTAGGACAAATGTGAAACTCACCAGCAACGGTAAAACCCCAGTAATCGCATATATATGTCAACCATACCAAAAGCGTCAACCTTGTCATCTGAAAGCTCGAGAATAGAAGCTTGAAGCGATCGCCTTCCAATTTGAGCTTCTCAGCCCATGTAGATTTGAGCTGCTTGACACCACCTCCAAGCATAGGCCCATGACTCCGGTCCGAATCAAACTCATGCTCCAGGGATGAAAGATCCTCCAGAACGAGGTCGCATTTGGATCCGTTGTATTGAGCCATCGTGTGCAGTACCTCGATGGCTTCGGCATCCTTGCCTCGGTATATGAGAAACTTCGGCGATTCCTGGAAGGTGAAAACCACTGATCGTAAGACGAAGACAAGTATGGTGATTCCTCCTAGCGTGAAGAGCAGATACCGCCAACCCATATTGTCCTCCCTTGAACAACACAATTCCCCTGTAGGAACAGCACCGCAGGCAGGCAACGCTCGATCTCCTTCTGAAAAGTTTGGACTGCAAGACCAGTTTGGGATGAAACCATATGCGAGCACGGAACAGATGACAACACCGATGGGTTGGAAGATCGATAATAGCGGAAGGAGGTAACGCTTGCTTTGTGGTGTGGCTTCCAGGGTAATGGTAGTGTCGATGGGAATGTTGCCTCCGACGCCAAACCCAGTGAACGCTGTTAGAACCAAAATGGCGTTGTAAGTACTCGGGGCGCCGATGCATGTTCCAAATAAACATGCAATAAAGACTGTCAGATTGAAAGAGACCTTTCTCCCGATCAAGTCCACGAGGACGCCCCACACAAATGCACCGGCTGTGAGCCCGATGGAAAAGGCAGTGGACAACTTTCCAGTCTGATCAGCGCCAAACCCAAGTTCCTGTTGGATTGGCGATAGAACAAGACCGAAGGCTTGTGCCCACATCAAATCGATCATGTAGCCAAACCCGCAAAGCGCCCAAATCGACCACTGGTACCGTCCCATTCCCATGAGATCAATCTCGCGGTTGATGAGCAGACATTTCTTCTCGTACAGGGAAATACCCTCATCTCCAATTTCTTCGGCCAAGGATCGTGAACGCTCCGGGTCGTCAGATCTATTGTGGTCAATTGGTTTCTCTTTGTCCTCGCCCAGCAACTTTCCATCTCTTGTAATTTCCCCTTCGGTGAGAGTCGTGCTATCGTTTGTGGAATAATTGCGAGAAGAAGATGCGATAACCTCGCCAGCGCTCAAGAGCGCGTCGCTCTCGCCTGCCCCAGAGCCTCGACGCGACATTGTTGGATTGTTTTCTGAATACTCGAAAGATGACAAAATGTTGAGAGATCCTTCTTCGGCGCTTACCCCTCTTGTGTGTGTGCCATGGGCTTCACATAGGCGGCACCACACTCCGCCGCGGGGGAAGGCTAGGATACGTTGGGCAGTAGTTAAGCGACGCCTGATAAGCCATTTGATTGCGCCGGTGTAGCTTCGGTGTCAGAAATGTCAAAGGAGCAGTATCCATGGCATTGCGTGCAGACGTTGAGTGCCGGATACTAACGCTATGAGGTGTAGACGAGGCAGATCTTGCTGTTCAACACACCTCGTCGTTAGCAAAGGTGCAACAGATACGATTGCCACTTTGTACTAATTCCGCGGAATATTGAATTAAACAGGGCAGAATTGTTTCACAAGTCAGACCATTCCACATAACCGGAGCATCTTCCGAAAAAGGCCGTTTCCGTCCTGTAGCAACAATAATGGTGAAGGCTTACGGTTCAGGCCGCGAAGTCTTGTGATGCGAGAAGGGATAGCCCTGATAACAAGTTGACGTAAGTAATCATCAGATACTTACGCCTGGACATACAGTTGCTCCTTCTATGAGTTTGTTATTTTCGCGGCCTGTTGTTGTGAGCATGAGATCCTATGCGGTTACGTGTTTGTATGCACGTTGATAGTGTGGCGAGTCGCGGCATGGGATTTCAAAAGCGCATGCTCTTGTGTGCTCCAAAATGCCTCAACAACGGCATCGCTCGAATAATGTGCAACCACAGATAGCGATGCGCGAAGGCATGAGTCCCATGACCCAGGTTGAGTGGGGATGTGCAGGCTGACGCACCGGCTTCCCCAGTTGGGCGAAGCATCCTATGCAGCAGATCGCGATGCGAAATTCGACTCGAATGAACCCTAGACTGAACGGTGAATGAAAGTGGGTGAAGTTGGAGAGAGCAGATCCAGCTCGAATGCAGACGACGGGGCAGTTCAAAGGGTCTGGCCCCACTTTTCCGTGCATCGCCAAGGCCGGCGCGGTGGATCTGTGCGCCGAGATACTGGAACTTTTTTTGCAAGGCATGTCCAGAGACCAGTACTGCAAATAACAATTTTCAGCTCATCATTTTGCAATGGCTCCTCGAAGAAAGCGCCAGCGTCTCTCGCTCGAAGGAGCAGAAGCCGTCACAGCAACCGCCGACGCCGAGCAACCGTCCAATTCTTCTACAGCGGCGCCCAAAGAAGCTGCGCGCCGACAACTTTTCGTTCGCGGACTTGCGCCCACCGTTACGACCGAAGACCTTACCGAATACTTCTCCGAATCGTACCCAATCAAAAACGCGCTCGTTGTACTGGACAAGGAAACCAGGGAATCGAAAAGCTACGGTTTCGTAACATTCGCCGACGTCGAAGATGCGCAAAGAGCGAAGGAGGAGTTGAACAATACGGAGATCAAGGGCAAGAAGATCAAGGTTGACTTTGCCGAGGCGAGACAGCGTGAAGGCGAAGAGAAGAGGCCGAGGGCTGGTGACAGGGCCAAGGCAGAGCGCGAGCAGCAGATCAAGGATGCGCAGACGCCAAAGTTGATCATTCGCAATCTGCCATGGACTATAAAGACGCCGGACGATCTACAGAAGTTGTTCAGAAGCTATGGAAAAGTCAACTTTGTCAATCTGCCCAAGAAGCCCAATGGTGAACTGAGAGGTTTCGGTTTCGTCTCGCTACGTGGGAAGAAGAACGCGGAGAGGGCGATACAAGAGCTGAACGGCAAGGAGGTCGACGAAAGACCTATCGCTGTGGACTGGGCTGTGGATCGGGAAACATGGCAGAGCCTGCAAAAGACTGAACGGGAGGGAGATGATGCCAAAGCCGACGGAGAAGACGAAGATGAAGATATGGAAGACGCTGAGAGCTCTGCTGTCAGCTCGGATGATGACGACTCTGAAATGGACGATAGCGAAGACGACGAAGACGATAGCAACACCGACTACGAGGACATATCAGAGGATGATGAAGATGGTGGAGTGGAGCTTGAACAAGAGGACACCCGACCGAAGCGTGAGGAATACACTCTTTTCGTGCGCAATGTGCCTTTCACAGTTGACGACGAACGTCTCAAAGAGCACTTCCAGCAATTCGGTGGCATCCGATTTGCGCGTGTTGTGGTCGACCGCGAGACCGAACGACCAAAAGGCACAGGATTCGTCTCATTCTTTGCAGAAGAAGACATGATCAACTGCCTCAAAGGCGTCCCGCGCGTCAAGCTACAGAAGAAGAACCTCGACAAGAAGGACGGCTCCACCATTACTGTTACACACTCTGTGCTCGAAGACGAAGACGCCGACCCAACCGGCAAATATACCATTGACGGTCGCATCCTACAAATCTCACGCGCAGTTGACAAGAACGAAGCTACTCGTCTGACAGCGGAAGGCGCTGCTTCGCGCTTTAGCCGTGACAAAGACAAGCGTCGCCTCTACCTTCTCTCTGAAGGAACTATTGCTTCCAACTCGCCGCTATACCAGAAGCTCTCGCCCTCTGAAATTAAGATGCGCGAAGAGAGCGCAACAATGCGCCGTAAGCAGATTCAGGAAAACCCATCACTCCATTTATCTCTCACCCGCCTCTCCGTGCGCAACATTCCCCGCAGCATCACGTCTAAGGACCTGAAGCAGCTTGCTCGTAGCGCCGTCGTTGGTTTCGCAGCCGATGTCAAAGAGGGCAAGCGACAGAAGCTTAATAAAGAGGAAGTCATTCGTGGCGGTCAAGAGATGCTCGTCGCAGAGAAGATGCGTAAGAAGAAGGGTAAGGGTATTGTCAAACAGGCCAAGGTTGTTTTCGAGACACCCGCTGGTAGCAAAGTTTCTGAAGACACCGGTGCTGGAAGGAGCAGAGGCTATGGATTCATCGAGTACTACACACACCGAAATGCACTCATGGGTCTTCGATGGCTTAATGGCCACGCAGTGGACTACAAGATCAAGTCTGGTCCCACGCCAAAGAGCAAGAAG